TTAAGTTAATAACCTCAGTCTTTCCCCGTACAAGTCATAGGCTTCCGACATTATTATCTTTGCGCATATAACCGCTTAAGCAAAATAAATAATACGAGTCGGATATTTCAAGAGCACATAAGAGCATATCAGGGTCGGGTTTTACGCTCACAAATATACGCACACTCTACATGAATAGGCGTATAATCATCAGGGTCGTCACTTTTAACTCAGCTCCAACATTGCTCTACGGTGATGCCAACTAAAAGCAATTCGAACCCAACCGTGGCGAACAAGATCCAACATCAGCATTGCTTTTCCTTTCATTGACATACAGCGCTTCATGATGAACGGGTCGTGGATTTAGCGCGGTCGTATTGTGGTTTTATTTTAAACGCGTTAYATTTATTAAAATCTCATCATTATTGTAGTTTGTGTTCGAGTGATTAATTTGTTTTCTATGGTCACATAATAAAATATATGATATTCCAAAAAATGTAATTTTTGTATAAAAATTACTTCATAAATATATTTATATGATTTGTGTAGTCCTTAAAAATGTTAGCTTCTTCAGACGTCCAGCAATTGTTAGTAAAACTGCTGTGGCGCGAACATTAGACAAAAAGTAAAGTGTTACTTTCCAGACAAATTACGTAGTTTCAACTTTAAACCTAAGTGAAATAAAATAGTTTTTACATCCTGAAAATTTTAAAGCAGTTAAGAGAGGTATAATTAACAAAAGCGAAATTGTGTTTATCGTAATACATAATGAAAATGGTTATGTCAGCTGACAGTTCTGACTGTCATATAAGTAGTGAAAGTGCAAGTGCGCGGACTATATTGATATCGCCATCGGAACCTTTGACGTCATCTTTTCGAGATAAAAGTGAATGTCAACTGATTCTCAATACTGAAAGTGAATACGAACGTACATCAGTTATTGCATCGCTTCATGGAAATTCACAGCAGAACTCTAAAAGTCAATCACACTACCATTCGTTTAAACTAAACGAAATTCAACAAAGTGTACCACAAACCTCTCACGCATCTATCTCTACGTCGACATTCCGTGTTATAGCTGGACCATCACATTTACAAAATGCTTTGAATCTACCCCTGAACACAAGTGCATCAACTTATTATCAGCAAAGAAAGATATCACCCAGTTCTTCTGATGATGTTTCTTTGGGAAGTTCTCAAGAAAACCATGGAAACTTCATCCAGCATTCTAATAACCCGTTGATGAAAAACTTGGATGGAATACTGCCGTTTTCCACAAAAGTTCCATGTATAAAAACATCTTTATCACGCATTCCTACCGGCAAAAATGCCCCAAATAATATTACATTAAATACTGGCATAATTTCGAATATTAATAGTCCCTCGACTATAACTACCACAGATTTGGAAAATGGTCGTTTCTCTCCATCTTATTACACCTCATCTCATTCGTCATCTCCTCCCGAAAGTGCCTGTCAAAATCCTAACAATATTTTATATGTAAATAAAAAAACTTGCAACATCAAAAAAAACACTTTTCTGGTTCAACGTTCACATAATAATCAACAAAGCAATGCCCATGAATCGTATATACCACAAAATAATACAAATTTTAATAACTATGTTGCAATGACAACTGATATGACATGTTCCACGGTACATGTTGACAATTACACACAAAACTCTTCATATCCAAATCGTAATGAAGATATATATCAGTTATCTGCTACTAACAATGTCGGTGTTGCGCCAACAGATTCTCGACCTCAGACCCCAGAATATATAAAATCTTACCCTGTGATGGACACAACGGTAGCGAGTTCGATAAAAGGAGAACCGGAGTTAAATATCGGTAAATATAAAATTTATTTGAACCCAGAAGGTTTRTTTATGATTTATATAAGTTGAACGTTAATAGACAATTTTGAGGAAATAGCAGATTTGCTTACTTAATTGGTTGAGAATTGCATATGTCAAGTTGCCATTTAGTCTTTTCTTCATTTAACTACTAATATACTTGATGACAGATAAAATATACATACATATATAGGTATATTCAAGCGAACAAAAAGAGAATAGCTGTTTTATCAGTTTTTTGACTTCTCATTAAAGCGGAAGTTTTGTTAATAATTGTCATTTCAACCGGTTTTATAAAATGTAATTTGTTATTTAAAGAGTCGCAAATGCGATGACTAAGACTGGTTTATTGAGGAATATACCCTTAGAAAATATAAATATATTTGTGTATGCATTTACACCTGGCTATTTATACATTTAAAGTATACTATAATTTTACCAGAATCTATGGAATCGTGATCACCATATTTTATTTGCAATAAAAACCCACATATTTTAAAGTTAAAGTTCAAGTTAGTTACATTTACTCATTTATAGGTGTATATTTATTTATTTGTATTATCGCACTTATTCGAATAGTTGTACAATAACATATCCACTGACGTTTGCCAACGGCAACAGTGGTAACTGCAATTCCATCAGTGTGCTCGTTCATTGAACTGTTTAACCAGCCACTGAGTTGCTCATCGGGTTCATTGCTTTCCATTTATACATATATATATGTACATGTACAGACGTACATGCATAAGTACTGCGCGGTCATGGTAAACGCAGCAGCAACAACAGAGCAGTGCGTTGCACTTGAATACTTGGAGTGAAGCAAGCTTTGTTGTTTTGGCTGGTATCACCACAGTGCCATACATATTTTTATATATGCAGTGTTTTCATTTATCTTATCTTCTTCTTCCAACCTTCAAAAACCTCATCCAGATTGAAAGTGAAACTTTAAAAGTTAACCACTCTTTCAGTTTCTCATGTCAACAACCGAGGGGTAACTTGTATGGCCATACCACTCATCGTAACTTAAAACCGCGAAGTAATTTGACATTTGGTTACTCTGTCTCCCTATTTAATCATTGCAGATGCAAACTTGTAAATTTTCTTTCCAAGTTTACATATACATACATATGTTTGTATGTATGCAAGCAAAACACAATCGAAACTGGTTCAGTTGCATTAGGAGTGTACATATGATTAATGTATTCAGTTTTAACTGTGTATTATACTATGGGGATATTTTGTTCGAGTATATCCCCATAAATATGTGGGTATACTATTTGGAATATGATATCTATTGACATGCTTTGCTTAAACAATGTTTACACATATATATATATAAATATATATATATATTATTTGTGAACAATTACATATACAAAGTTTGTAAGTACATATGTATGTATATTCGTTTGTCATTTTTCTATTGTCATCAATATGAGGTGAATGCACAGTATAATTAGAGAAAGTGTTCATCGCCTTAGCCGCAACTAAATGGAAATTGTTGCTATTATTCGACTTTTTTTCTTTTTTACATGTTTATATGTACATACATACAAGTATAAATAAGGTTTTCCAGGGTATTGGTACGTATGTTTCTATGTGCTACATTTTTGTAGGAGTAAATGGAAAGTTTGTTAGATAACCACTTCCACAGTCACTAAACAAAAGGGAGAACCATAAGAAACATACATATGTACATATTCATGTATGTATATTTTTCAAATTCCAATAATCTTCAAATATAAATTATTTAAAAAATTCGCGTCAAAATTTGAAGTTATAGAACAAATTGTTTGTATTCTCTACTTTGTTTTATATTATTCAATGAATTTTTAACGTTCCATTAAATGTGTTTAGTACTCACATAACGTACACACCCACTTTATAGATATGTAATAAAAGTGTAGAATATATGTATGTATGTATTAGGAATCAAAAAAATATTCATTATGACTTTGTTATCCACCATTTAACTCACATGCGGTCAACGACTCAAAGAGTAACCTCGAAAATACGTTAAACTTTAGTTGACCTCAAGAAGGTTTGCGAACTTGCAAAAAGCTTAAATATAGGAAGTAAATTTAAATTTATAAACATACACATACATGTATATTAAACGTGTTTTAAATAATAAAGTAAGCAAGTCTTCTTTAATTCTTTTATATTTATACATATGTTGATCATATGATATTGCTTGTAATTTTTTGTGAGATCATTGGCAAATACTATGTATATATGTAYATATGTACATACATACATACTTCTGTACAACTGAGGTAGTATATTTCATTCGAAACTTCAAAATAGTGAATCCCAAGGTTAGTGTTTTTGTTTATTTCCATGCTATTGCCCCTAAATATAATATATTTACCCTTTATTACCACACAAGAACAAAAGCACAAGAAAATAAGCAAACGTTCCGATGCTGCCAGTAGCATGCGGTATTTATTTTTATTTACGCTGACGCAAATATTCATTACCTAGTAATTATAGAATGAAAATGTTCCCACTCACTACATACATTGTTTTTATTGCATTATATATGTACATGAATAAATTGAATATCTAAAGAATAAATAATAAAATTAAGTGTCAGCTTAGCCGCCCATAATTTTAGTGAATATATGTATGTACATACATACATATGTACAACGTATACATGGTGTACAATGATTTTTCAAGTTCAAGGCAATTTTTCTATTATGAATGAATCAAGTTACATGCGTTGGACTTTTGCGAGCAACAAACTAGACTGACAACTTTCTTCTTTCTCATTCCAATACAATACATATGTGAAAATAAAATCATACACATACATACATATAAATATGTGTATACATCAACTTACATGAGCACAATTTTATTTTTGTTTGAGGCAAATTTTAAGAGCCAATGACGATCATTAAGATTATTACTATTTAAGCTTTCTTGTCTGTGTGGATATGTATAGTTTTATTACAGATATTTGTTTATGGTACACCATCTCAAACATTTCAAAGCTCATTTAAACATAATTACTCTTTAATGAAGAAATTATGCAAATATGTTGTAACGTTTTTATAAAGAGGATAATTTTTAATAATTTCTATTAAAGATAAATACTAAAACTACATTTTAGTCAAAAGTTTTACAAACAAAAAAATTTATTATTTCTTACCTTACAGAATTTGATGGTACAACAGTGCTATGCCGCGTCTGTGGTGATAAAGCGTCTGGTTTTCATTACGGTGTACATTCCTGTGAAGGTTGTAAGGTAAGTAAGTTTTTAGAAATATTATAATGAAAAATAAATATAATAATTTATTCGCTAAACTAGGGTTCTTTTCGCTTGTGCTCATGCATTTATGTACAAATATTCTGTCTCATAGAAGTTTATTAAAATACATATGTATTTAAGCATATGAATTTCAAAGATTAAGCAATGTAAAACACTTCTGAACTAAATTGACATTAAAAGGTTTATTTTAGAAATTTACTTATCCTTTAAGGACTGCTCCGGCACATCGAGCATAACCGAACATTCGTCCTTCCTTGAGAATGAAGATATATTCATAATTATAAAAGTATGGGCGGATATACATATGTATAGCTTAGATTACTTTTATTTAACCATTTTAACCATTCATACAAATACACATCCTTTATTATAGAACAAGTTTGAAGGTTAATATGACCTTTTGGTTTACGTATTTAGTACTAATTAGGAAGTATGAAACAGGTTTAGCTTATCGAATATTTCAAAGTAGTATCAGATTCGCACTCGTTTAGTGAAGTTGTGTCTAGATGTGTATTTACCTAAACGAATTCGCGTAAACGTGTGTGAATAATAAGATAATCAAGTGAATGACTAAATAAAAGACCTTCGCGGGTTTATTGGCATTTGCTTTTGAATTGTCAGATATTCTTTCAAATTTTATAAAATATTGTTTTTTTATGTATGGAGTATTCCTTTACTTCAAAATATAGTGTATCACGGATTCATATCTAGTTAAAATAGTCTCCAAAATTCCAAAAATATATAAAAAATTGTAATTCATTCTTATAGAGCAGAGAATAATACATACGTAAGTATGCATATTCGAGTATATCCTGCACTAAACGTTTTAGTGTTCTATAGTTCGATCCACAGGGAGTATAATTTCTGTGCTTGTATAGAGATTTTTTAAGTTGTTCACCTGCAATTCCAAATTCGGTTTTTACTTTAGACTCCACGACATTAGTAATCACACATACCCGTTTATGAATTAACACTCGAAAATAATACTTATATGTGTACATATCATACATACATAACTCAACATATTTCGCTGAGATTCATATATGTATATAGTTGCCTACTGATTTTGTCAGTTTTGCCCCAGCAAGCGTGGCGGTAATTGACCAGGCATGATGTTAATGAACTCATTCAATGTCAATTTTTTATATATAATTATGTAGAAGAAGTATATAAAGAGATTCGTGAGAATAGGAGCAAAACGTATTAGTAGTAGTAAAAGAGTATGACCAAAGTTTGTGTCGGAGAGAATAGCAAACAYGAATGTGTGCATTAAATAGTGTGCTCTCAAACAGGGTGCTTTTGTTGTGCATTGACATTAGTACATATGCTCTAAAACTTCTTACAAATAAGTTTCTAAAAATATTATTATAATTACAAAGAGAGTTTTTACCGATGCATTTAGTCCTACTTTACAGACTTAGTAATAAGTTTAATAAAAACCAGTAAAACAATCGTTTCATTATAAGATTTTTAAAGACAAAATAATGATATCAAGTTATATTAATAATTAACTGTCTGACCTAAATCATATTTTTTATATAATAATATCAATTATTATTAAAATGATGTCCCCAAAAAAGTTCAAAGCTTTCGCAATTAATTGCTTTCCCATGTGCACATTTGTGTATCGTATAAGTATATACACTATAAATGCTCGAGTGATACTGTGGATTACAATAATATAAATATGCATATATCTATATACATACATGCATACATATATATAACTACACAAAGTAGTATATTCATACATTCTTACAATGTATGTATGTTCATATGTAAGCGAATATGTATACAATTGTAAAAGTGATTCCAAAGCTTGTGAACTTCGCAGCCCTGTATCACAATAAACAGTTCAATGCACTTGGCCATTTGTGTCATCAACCTCTTGCATTTATTTAGGTTAGGCACAGTATGGCATAAAATGTGTTCGACTCAATAGAATTGCATCGTACTCTCTTGAGCTTGAAAAGGTGCTCATTAATGTTCATGAAAAAGGAGTCAAAAATAGAGAACGTGAGAGACATTTTAAGAGTTGGAATGAAGTAGTGATATTGTTAAAGAATTTTATTTGTAAGGCGTATGTGATAGGTATGTGAGTATTGAATTCATACTCACGAATGCATACATAATGCTAAGAGTTGGATATGTCATCATTGAGAAAGACTACATTTGTATAGAGAGTGTTCGCTTCGTGTGCTGTGGATGAAAAGTAATTTAACAACTACTAATCTATGTTTTATATTTTAGCATAAATTTAGGGGCAGACATGCGTATAAGTGAATCCAACCAATGCTTTTATGGCTCAAAACCCCTTGCGATATACTATGAGAAATATTTTCTCTACCATTGAATTCACGCATTTAAAAACATATGTACATATACTGCAATCAATACGGGTGTCTAGAATTAAATAAATTTATTACATAATTGAATGAAATATACATATGTATGTATATGAAATATAGTATATCATACAAAAAGTAATATAAACATACATATGTGCCGCACATTTTCAAATCGGCGAACTTACACGATTATTAAGTATTATGTAATAAAATAATTTTCCCACAAAATTTATAATGAATGTCATTCATTTCATCTGCTCGAAACTAACATGGACACACTACTTGCATTTTCCAAAACTTTTGGTCTAGTAAATAAATATGTGGTTAAGTAGTATGCATACATACATAGTTGTATATTGTACACATAGATWCCTAAGTTTATTTTTAAATAGACGTAAAAATGTATAATCAAGAACATGTATCCGTTTGTGTAAGGCATTAATTTGCAATGGTTGTTGCCCAATAACTGTCAAATACCAATACGTACTATGCACGTATAAACATGCGTGTAACATTGCACATTTTACAGTGTGCGAAAGTCATTGCACTCTGCGGTACTTTCGGGCAACAGCAAGACTGTTTCATACTGCATTCTCTACCGTAGTCACTCGTCGTCATTGTTGCGGCAAGAGGCACTATATGTACTTGCATACTTACATATGTACATAAACTTTTCTCATAAAAACACAGGCGGTTTGAGAGGTTGATGGCTGCTTATTGGTGACATGACTTTAACACATTCAAAAAAATTCTTATTGACTCTAATTTGATAAAGGGGACCTTACAAGCTATAAGTCACTTTCGAACGACTTATTGATATACATACATACACATGTAATATGAACATAACAAAATATGTCAATAAATTTATATTGTAAACAACTTTTGCACAAAATATTCGTTGCGCCTCTACAAATAATACAGATACATACATATGTATATAGTACACTACGATGTAAACCTTACTAGTCTAACTCAAGATTAAATTAGTAACTTAACTTAACTTAGTAAGAATTTTTAAAACATATCCCAAGCATCTTTAAAGCACTGTTAATGATAAATATTTTGTAAATGCTATAAGTATTTGGAAATTTGCCGAAAATTTTCCTTTAGGGTCGAATTGATTTGGAGAAGAGCTGCTTTGCATGCGCATGGATTTTCTCCTCACAGCCATCACACGCTCTTCATTGAGTAGTTGCAGTTTCGTATATTTTGCATATGTATAAAGAAGTATGTATATACGTAGGTGTATTTACTTGGAAAGCTATGTTCTTTCCCTGCAACATATAGTCAATGTGCATTTGTGTAGAAAATCTTATAAGTGTTGGTGAGGTGAGTGAACGCAGCCGACCCGACCAAGCTGCGCATTTTTATCTTCTTTACATAAAAATACATACATACGTAAATAAGTATATACATATTTACTGGGGTTAGACATTTTTTAATCAGTCTTTTCAGAATTTCTATATCTAACACTATTATTAAATTTAGGAGGCTTAACCTTGTAAAATTATTTTTTACTAGTCGCCCTATTCTAACCAAACAAATGAATCGGCTATACATAATAATTACAATTATATTTATATAAACAAATATTTATTTATATAGTTGTATGAGTATTCCCAAATGTTATAATTATAATAGAGGAAACCAGATTTTATCGGAATTTCGTAAGTGTGCTAAGCAAAGTTCAGTTTTCATGAGCTACCAATTTTCTTACAATTGAGACCTACCTTAATGCTAAGTCGATCTTTGGGTGCAATGCCTGGTAAGTAGGTCAAGTAAATAGCAACCCCCGGCAGAAAAGGAAAATTAGCACAATGAACTTTTTTGATTTCACCTTGAGCGTTGTCGCCAAGCAAAGCAAATACATAGTTTATAAACTCTTGAATTGATTATGTAATACATTAAAGGTGACATTATAAAAGAATATTAAAAGATATATGTAAATAAAAAAGTACCAGAAATTATGCGAGGAAATATCAAGTGCGTTTGCACATTTGCACATATTTGTTTATGTATATGGTCGCTTTTAATGAGTTTCTACAATCTTTTTGTGAATTTTAAAAGTAAAGTAAAATGTTTTTTCTATACAAAAAAGTAACTTGCGTTCAGTTTATTMATATTATATATTCCTATAGCCAAAGTGAAAAAGCTCCAGATTGCTACTCAATTCTATAAAATTACTCAAATTTATGTGTAAGTATTGTGATGTACTTATACTCGTATATGCGCTTCTGCTGAGCGCAGCTCTCTCAAACTGAACATGTAGCTACAATCTCTGCAACTATTGTCCGCTAGTTATCTCGGCTAACGAGGCCGAAATGGAACTGTGTCCATCGTTGAGGTAAATGAACTTTGTCTGTTGCAAATTAAACTAATGTTTGAGCATTTGCATGGAGGACATTTTTTATATACACATACATGTATGTATGTATATTAACTTTAATATATACAAACACTCATTTGTTTATATGAATGTATGTTTTCACACATCTATTGCTCCAATGGCAATCTACTGGGACTGCCATATGACGTCAATGGTAAAATTCTTAACGTAGACATACAGTTTTTCACTATTATACGTCTATCCAATATATGTGCAGTATGTGAATGCACATTTGTACATAMATATATGTATGTATTTTTGGGGTTAGATGGGTAAAATTCAAACCATAGCACAAGTAAGTCATTGAACGCTAATTATATTAATTTATATCAACTAAGTATACTTATGTGGAATAATCATTTTTAGTTTTTAGTAATGAATCTCTCTTGTCAGAATATCAATAAATGTGTGAATTAGTATTTGTAGTACAAGAAAAATGTTAACCACACATCTATGTTGAATAAAGTTTTATATTAATTGTTACGACTATGTGGAATAAATCCTCTTACTTTCCTCCCAAACTTGTTTATAGTTTAAATGCACAATCACACATYAATATGTATATAATAGTATTTCTCATTGAAGTTTGCGTACATACATATGTATGTACATATGTATACGTATAGTCTTTTATTAAGAAAAATGGTTTACCAAGGCGAAGTAAGCGGAAAAAAGCACATGTTTGCATATACTTTCATTGAAACTCTAATTAACAAAGTTAAATTTATTCCTTTCTTTCTTTTCGATAATTTAAGTATTCTTTCTTATTCGTTTTGCCCTTTTCATGACATTGTAAAACTAAATCTTTTATTTTGGCATCTATAATTTTACTTTATTCCCCCGATACTCACTTAAAACATTATATTTGATACTCAGTTAAACAAAATGTTTTATAAATTCATTAACAATCTAATATGCATTTATTAAAAAAGTTGTTTTTTTTGCAATTGGCGTAATAAATGTCGGCATCCTTATACGTCCATGCGTACTTTATAAGGGTAGGTATTTCTTGTGTCCTGCACGGACATTAACACTACAATAGCCTACACTTACAACAAACTAGACCCGTAGACATTAGAACATGGTWGTTAGTTTGCACTTGGGCTGTTGGCTGAAAATTATTTTGCTATGCAAAGGAATAAACATTCTTCTATAAAAGACTATAAGATACGAATCTACTCAAGGTATGTAGAGAATCGATCAATGTTATATTCTATATTTTGAAGCTTGAAAAAGCATTCTAAATGAAAAGGGATAACAATAATAATAGCGTTAAATCATAATCTACGTATGTATATTAATCCTTTGAAGTATATTGAAAAATCCTTTATTACACATATATGAAATTAAATATATTTTTTCCCATAATTGCATTGTTGTTCATAACTGCTAAAAATTCTAGTTTTTTCTGTTATCTTTATAAATATTCATACCACGAGATTGTGCAGTGTGCACTTTACTATTCGTTTCTATGTCATTGACCGTTCGTTAGCTAAAGTGAACCCTGGTTGCATATTTGCTCTCTTCAGATATCTCTAACAATTACATTTTTTCTTCGCGCTCTCCCTTCAGTGCATACTGGTAGGCTCTCACTTGATTATTTTTCGCGTAAACTCTAGAACATCGTTCTTCTGCATACTTACATATGTACATGCGCATGTATTTGTTTGAATGCATACATGGATTATTACATTTGCTCAAGCTGGTTCAGACAAGAGATATATGAATGTATGTACGCCAGTGCACCAGCAAAAAGTGTGTTGCAATAATGCAATGATATTGTAGGTGTGAGTAATTAAACTCATACCATGAGAATGAAAATGTTTCTCATTTAATACATTGGGAGCCAGAATATTATGGACGTCGAAGCAAAACAAATACGACGAATATGCAAAGCTAACTACTCGTTCATATTCGTAAACATACACGAATACACGAAAGTATATTATTATGTAGACTAGTAAATGAGCTAAATTGAATGGGTATAGGCACTGAGCGAACGAACGAGCTCCATATTTCGAGGTTGCTGACCGAGAATTAGGTCACGACAATGATGGAGTTCGTTGAACTAATATAAGCAACAATGACAACGCCGTCATCACACTCTTGATTTGCTGGTCGCATTGCATCCCCATGAATTTCATACTAGGTGTGTACATCGTCATGAACAACATTTTTTTTAAATCATAATTTTAACAAAGTAAATCACTCGTTGGACAATTGTATTTTTAACTAATTAGAATATTAACTTATTTATCCCGTCTAATGTATCAACGAATATTGATAATTTAAACTGGAAACATACATTTAGATACATATGTATGTATATACATAACTATGTACATATAACTTATACACACATGAAAATATTGAAAAAGGTGTTCTTAATAAAATCGGCAATTACGTTCCCTCTAAAATAACATTTTGCAATTACGAAAAGCCCGATACTTGAATGCTTGATATTGGTTATTACGTCAAAGAAACAAACTCAACATATTCAACTCAATTTAAAAAAGCACTCAACATTAGATAGTTGATTTGAGTTTTTTGAGTTCATTTGGGGGTCATTGCTCGCAGCTAGCTAGCTTGGAACGAAGACGCTAACAATAGCAAGAGCAACTACAACAGTGATTCGTGTTGTTCAGAGCACGACAACGAATAAACAATTCGAGGTTGAGTTGAGCAAGTCATTCGCAATTCGTCTGTCAAACGTTACGGTTCAGTATATGTGCGAATATTTTGAAACATTTTCTGTTAAGAGAGATTTTAGTGAATATTTGTATAAAACAAAAAAAAAAAACAACTTCCAATAAAGTTTTGTTGACAACCAATTTGCTACAATGCACTCCAAACATATTCAGTGATTGAACTTACAACCCAACGCGTAATGCCCATCGTACAAAAATAGAATAATTAGGAAGGCAATATTTTAAAACTGAAACGTTTTTATGAAATTAAAGCCGTAATAACTTATAAAAAAGTTCTTAAACCCTTGTTCAAGTGAAACGTGAAAACCAACGATAAACTTATCGCTAATTTGTAGTTGGCGGGAAATTTCCTCTAACAAACCAAAAAGACTCTAAGTAAAAGTTATACTTAATCAGAAATATGTTCCTTATAATAATATTTTTCTTATAAAATCAAGTTTGGATTAAATATATAAATTTTGTCGATATGGTTTGCGCTACACAAGAAGTAAATGGCAATGAACGCCAACAGCAACATCAGCGGCAACCTATTCAACTACAACATATACCAGAAACATCACAGCCTCGGCAATTAAAATCACTTGCCATACAACCTACCGAGACCCAATTCCCGAAAATAGTATTGTTGTCAACATCTGCAACAAATATAAATCAAAACAACTTTACACAATCCACTAGTAGTAGGCAGTTAAAGCAACAGCATTCTGCTTTAGTAAAACTTTTAGAGTCGGAGCCCATAACAAAAAAAATAGTAACCAAAAACACAGATACGAATATTGGTAATGCTGATCTTCTGATCAAGCATGAACTAAATGTAAAACAAAATGATCATGATTGTTTAAATCTTAAAAAGAAAAATGAACAGAAGCAACAACAATTTATTCACAATGCTTCTGCAACTCAATGTAAAAGACTGAAATCAAATGGGATTAATCATCCTTTACTAGTCGAACATACAACTACAAAAAATCACAGTGTGAAAACAGGAACTACTTGCAGTTTTACTATAAATGCCATTTATGAAACAAAAACACAAGATCGCGTGGATGGTAACGAGAATAATTGTGTGAATAAATTCAAATGTAGAGATTTAGGGGATGATGACCACGAAAACAAATTTAAAGAAAGAAYAGCAAATACGCCCCTCCACACCAAACTATCGATACCACAAACGGATGTGGCGACTTTTAACTCAAGTAATGATTTCTTTGAGCAGTGTGAGTGTCCTTGGAAAAAAATACGATTTGCTAGAGAATGGAAGCAACGTGAACAACTACAAAAAAGAAAGCAACCAGAGTTACAGTCAGTTGAAGGCTCGAAACAAATTTTGACTGATGAAAAATTAGAATCTAATGATGGAAATAAAGAAGGCGATAATACTATTTTAAATTCAAAAGGCATGGTGACAACACCTGAATTTGTCTTGTCCAAGAAAACAGAAATTGAAATAACTACACTTTTGAAACAGCAACAGCAATTTCGACGTGATAGTTCTGATAGCAATTCTTCCTTACTAAGCAATTCCAGTACTCAATCTACTACAAGTGTTAACTTTTGTACATGCACGCCACAGCAACTAAAGTACCAACAAGAGAGTGTGTATGGAAACGATACAAGTTCTTCATTTTGTCAATTTAGTGATAATGATAATACCGAAATTGGGTGTGATGATGAACTTTGTATGGTTCATAATACATCACACCAGCAATCACAACTTGAACAATCGGCAATGAACGATCTTTGTCAACAGTTTGATGATAATTTAGAAACATTTACTAATTTTACACCTGAAGTAGATTCAAAAAGTGTACTAAATAACGATTTACTGACTTCAGATGTGAAAAACATTTCACATAATCCCAGTTCTTATAAGTTTGATGCAGAAACAGGAGTACCTGATGTACGTTATATTTAATTATTTTATATATGTATATTGTTAGAAAATTTATTTGTAAAACGCAAACTGCTTATGAACTGCTTATTAATTTGATTTTTTTACAATTCCAGGGATTTTTCCGGCGCTCTATTCAGCAAAAAATTCAGTACCGTCCGTGTACTAAAAACCAACAATGTAGCATTTTACGAATTAACCGTAATCGCTGCCAATATTGTCGGTTAAAAAAATGCATTGCAGTAGGAATGAGTCGTGATGGTAAGTAATATTTAGATGTAAATTAATTTGCGAAATTTTGATAAAATAATTTACATATTGTACGGTATATTTATATACACATATATATATGGAAGTAAGCAAAGAAATGTAAGTACATACATACATATGTGCATAGATATATACTAAACCATTGCACATACTCATATCTGGTTTATTAAAAACGATTGCAATACAAATAAGAGATTGACTCTCACTTTAAGATGGTATGCTTTACAATACTTTTTAAGTCGTTCATTCCCTATAAACGCGAACGAAATATATTAACATTATGCATACACCCGTACGACATACTGAAAGAGAGCATGAACTATATATAATACAACTAATACTGTTTCTCCTAACAGATATCTCTCATTCACTCTTCGTAGACTTTAATGCGAGGAATACTGAAATACTGATTTTATAAACTGATGCATATGTACATGCAAATACATATGGGTATGCGATCGTACGCAATCATGAGCCTAAGCTACATGTGTATGCACCGGCCATGAGTTCGTTGACCAACCATGAACGAATTTTTTAAAGCAATGACAATAAAAGCAAAATCATTACGAATTACAATTAAGCACACACAAGTATGTATATTATAATATTATATATGTACATATGTATATGGATTTGTAGAAATTCCTAGACGAAGCCTATATAAAAAGAAGTTATTTATCGTATAACAGATCAGATATCAGATATGTAGGTAGATACGTATGTATGTAAGTTGCAGTAAATTTTTGAGGTACAGGTATGATTATATATTTTAAATGTACATAATTTAATTGGATTCTTTATAATTTGTCTCACTTTAATATTGATAATTTACAGCTTATTTTCTATGATTTTTATCCATTAATCTTTCGCCATAAATCTTTCACAAAGTTGTGAGAAATTAGAGGTAATTTTACTTTACTTTTTAAAGCTGCGAGTGCAAGTATTATATAAGAATGTATCTTGAACATATCCCTGTAACTTATACCCTATAACATTTTTTAGCAGTTATCATTTGTTATTAATTTATAGGTATGTACATATATACATACATACATATATAGATATACAAAAATCTTGAGGGTTATATGAATCTTAATTGCATGATATGTATTGACGACATATGTACGTATATAAATTATTTATACATATGTACTATATACTCATATGTAACTATATACATATAATAAATAAACACTTTCACTTTTCCCATTTGCTTTTGAAATAAAAATGTTGATATGTATTGTATGATGCGTAACAAATATGCTAGATTATGTCGTATACATGATACAAACAATAGTCGAAAATTGTATCACTTATTTTTAGAATTATAATAAGTGTAAACAACCAAAGTTAGAGATGATGAATCATATAATTGTAGATGYTTTTGCATTCAAATTTGTCCTTTCGTAAAATATTTAAAGTTAACTTTTTATAAAGAATCCAAAATTTTTTGCAACCAAGATGTCGTTTTTTTCTAATGACTATTGATTATCGCATATCCGAAATGAAATCGAAATTTTTACTTACACACTAATACACCTTCATTGTTATAAAAATGAAACGAGTGGTAGGAGCGAAAGTTTTAATGATTTTTAACATCATATAAAAGACCTGGATGAACGGTTGCTGTTGGACTTTCGACACTTACAATTCCAATCGTTGTTATAGCAATTTAAACCTTACACAGTTTAGCTCAAGCAACTCGCCTACACAACAATATTATTCAATTTCACTCCACCTCTCTCTTTTGCTTTTTTGAATTTGAGTGATTGCTGCGTTGTACGATAGGTCGACGTCATTGCTTGCACGAGTTCATTGTCCGCATCTGATGTTCGTAACTCTAAAACTAGGTCAACCATTTTTGTTTGCCATCGCAATGCATACGGTAACTTGGTCTTCGTTTACAATTATTGGTTGAATTATAACCATACAATTGCGGGAGACATTGTAAAGTATACATATGTATGTATGTACTCGTAAATGGAGACATTCATATATAAATATCAATGCATATGCAAATATGTTTTTATACATGTACATATAATATATACATACAGTATCTGCTTACTCAATAATCAATTACGATTGAGTTAAGCTCGAGGTTAAGTTCAGAACTAGCACAACTATTCAATATCCATTTTTATTACTAGAGTATTTGAATAATTGTTATTTCAAACAAAAACTTTATAAAATTTAAATTTCCTGCAAATTTTTAAGCTACATACATACATACATATGCACATTTTTGCCCACACATGTTGAGAAAATAAACTTGTTTCAGGTAATCGGTATACTTAACTTACATCCATATGTAGGCACATAAAAAATACGTATGGACATGCATAAGCAGTTTTATTCCCGCGCGTTTTCTCTTTGTCYTAGCATTCGTAATATGACTTGGGTTTCAGATTGGATGTACAAACAAATGTAACGTGTATGTTTGTATATTAATATGTATGGTTGTGTATAAAATAGGTCGAACCTTCAAAAAGTTCATTTACCTCAGATACGTAACTTTATCAAATGAAACATAGTACAACCTAAATGAACAACCTCTAGTCGSAAAACGAGAGAGTTGCTATACGAATGAGAGAAGGCCAACCGAATGAACGACCGAACGAATGGCTGACGAGTTTTTGAGTGATTTTTAAACTAATGCAAATGCACCGAAACCATTTTACTCAAATTATACTTTCGATTTTCTTGGTGAAGTAAAATAAAACAAATGTGAATTGTGCTAACTTCTCACTTCTAGAAGTATCTCAATTCTAAAAGTATCTAAGGAACCTGTTCGGTGTCAGTATGTCCAGATTATTTAGCTTAAAATATATGTACAGATTGTGTTGCAGTGGATTGTGTTGGGAAAAAACTATAATACCGCCTAATTTTAATAAGTTCTTATATGTATGCATTTATTTATGCTGTTACTTAAAATTTCAGAAGTTCTTTACATTATACCATATACAAGTCACAATATTCCATTAATATTTATTTTATAGAAAATATAAAATAATATTTTTAAGCAAAGACTTCGAGATGAAAAACGTATACTGTTATGTACAAAAATATATTTTTTGAAATCTTACAGTAAATTTGTGCTCATGTCATTGACTATGCATTTGAGCTAAACGGCGTCCAAAGCTCCCAACTCAAAGCGCAGTAGTTACATGCATATGTACTTATATGTATGTATAAGTGCGGGCATAACTAAAGCCTACCTACGTTGATTCTGATGTATAGAACAAAAATAACCTCTCTTTTTCACATGTTGAGCGGTTGAGTACGGCTGTAATACATATTCATATATGTATGCAGATATAATTTTGAATAGTTCATGTAATTTTTTATTATTTTAAAGTGTTTATGTATTTTCATATGGCTAAACATATACAAATTTGTAGATATGCACATATTACCGTGTATTCGCAACAAAAATACTTACATGTGCATATATATGTATACTAACAGCTATATTTAAATGCTTTCTCAACTGTTTGCGTCGCCTTCAATAGCCATTGCTTTGTCTTGGGAGTGCGGCGACATTTATCTGGGTCATGTACGGTCATTCACTTTTGTTGATTGCAATCAAACGTGCAGGCAGGCATACATACTTAGTTACTTATCTCGAAGAGTGTTCTACATTTATGTGGCAAAGAGCGTAATATCTGTATGTATGTATATGTGATTTGGTCAATACAATATGTACATATGTATATGCACTGCATATATTTAGTTTTGGTAAGTGTTTGATTCAGCAAAATATTTTATTTCATAGATTCTCCTATAATTAAGAATTTTAAAAAACATAATGATAAATTTAATAACTTAAGAGCATTATTAATTTACCTAAACTTAAACTAAACTTAATTTTTATGCATACTTAATCCAAATTACTATGGGATAAATAATATACATATGTATGTCTATATAAATATGCATTATATAAACAAGAGTATTTATTTATGAGTGGAATTGAAATAACTTTTACATTATTCTCTTCCTTAAAATAATTTATTGTATTTGCTACGTATTACATATAAATACATATGTATGAATGTATATAGACATAGTAACAAAAAAAATATATTTTCAATAGTTTATTAACTTAGAAAATAAACTTTCCAAAAAATAACCACAGCAGGGTAAAAATACATGTACATATATATATGTATGTATGTATATACATTTATTTGTTATATGCTTTGTAAACAGCGAAAAGACACCGTAAAATTGACTACTTTCACTTTTACTTTCTTTCTTTAAAATATAAAGAGTGAAGTACTAAAAAGCTCGTCAAGAGATAGAAACGGAGAGTTCAAAAACCTAATATTCGATGCATTTAATTCGTAAAGATAGATTTACAAACATACAAATGTATGTACATAAAAAACTTAGTAATAATATCATAATATATGTGAAACAACTACACTTGAACATGTATTATTAACAAGGGAGTATATATTAAAAAGAACACTTTTTAGGTACACAAAACATTTATCACCTCGTCAGGCACATACATATTAAACCAAGAAAATTAGTTATTTGTTGAAATGGTTGAAGTGTTAAGCCTGCATTAATAGTATACTATAAAAAACTGAATCAAAAAATTACATTAATATTTAATTGAATTTACTACAGCTGACACTGGCAGTAAGATACGATGGTGAGAAGCTTTTTAATGATATGCAAAGCTTTAGTTTTCTGTTCTCACAATTTCAAAAGTCTACAGAAAACTCTCTTAATCGTGGTGGAATATATTACTTTATGGTTAGGTTCATTAAATATGAAAATTATAGTTACTTTAACTTTTATTTAATAAAAAAAACTGAATATGTTTAGGTTAGTTTATTGCAATATCATTTACAACTTGTTTGTTGACCACAAATTACGATATCATTTATACTGATGTCAAGAAAATATTTTATAGTCTCTTCATGCGTGAAATAAGAGTACTTATAAAATAAGAGAAATACGAAAGAGAGTAAAATTATTGTTCTCTTATTTGAATGCCACCAATCTTATCGGTCAGTTTTTTTGTTTATGTACATACATAAGCGGCATTATAAGCTTTTTAAAGTTCAGTTACCACGTTTTTTAAGTGATTTATTTTTGTGTGGTAAAGTGAGGAGATGGATTCTCCTCTTTTGGGGTCTTTATATTTTTACTACATAAGAGTACTATGAGAAAAGTTTCTTTGAGCGCTACCCTTGCTTCTGCATCAGCTTTAATGTATTATGTATCTCATATTTTGTTTTCGTCCATACTGTCTTATGGGTATATTCATAACATGTTTCTGATTTTTACAGTTAGTCGCGTTCGAAACCTTGTCGAGTTTTGTCACGTTCTGATTCAGTGGTTGCTTGCAAGCCAATAAAATATTAAAGCACAAACTAAAAAAAAAAAAACGAAGAAATAATCGTTTAACGTTAACGTACAAAAAATTATTGTGCTGTATATCTATTAATTTTTTTAAGAATAAATGCAACGTATATATATGTAATAGAGTTCACTTGTGAAATAAACAAACGCCAAATTTGTGTATAGTTCTCATTCACAAATAATGTTATGAATATACAACAGTAACATTACGTGCTCATGAACAAAATCAAATTGAAAAACATGACAAAATCTAAAATTTAAAATTTAAAAACCCGTTTCCTTTTTTAATTTAATATGTGTTTAAATAATTATTCGTGTTTCTAAAATGTTGTAAA